AGAAGTTCTGCTTCTCTTCTAGATGTGAACAATGAAGCCTGCAGCGTCGAGGCACTAGAACACGTAGAGCATGTAGCCAGTGCCTCTCCCATAGCCTGTGCTCAACCGATAGTAACTGGCCTCATCATCGTTGCAGTTTTTTTAATTCTTTAAATTATCCTTGCAGTTTGTTTAATTCTTCAATGACTTGGGAGCCTGGTTTAAAGGTTCTCAAAGTGTGATGTAGAAGCCAATTAGGATCTTCCAGCATCTTCGCTAATCATAAGCAAGAGTCCTGTAGTACTTATGTTTAAACCAGGGCAGGGACTGTATTTCTGTTTCTGGCCAGACTTAAATTAATAGATTAGTTCATGGAAACCAGATATCTACTCGTGTTGTTTCCATCAAAGCGTGGCCATCCATGGCGTGGGGAAGCCTCTTCCCTGGCAGTCACTTAGGACTTTACTAGTAAAAGTGCCCCCTGAACCCTTGCAGAGAAGCTTTTTGCAGAGCAATAGTTACGTTTCTGGAAGACTGGCAGATAACTATACTGACAAAATTAAGACTCAGCTATCAGTGATACCTGCTCATCTGATACTGAAGGCTTTGAAGATGTGAGCACCAGCTTGACCCCTCTGAGCTAGAGATGAAATCATGAGTTCCCCTTGGGCCACACCTCATTTCAGAAATTGACACAGGTGTGCTCCTGCCTCACCTCCCGGTCAGTCCTCCTCTGGGCCAGGTGTGCTCATAGGTGTAGCATATCACGGGAAACCCTGTCCTCGAGAAGCGTGCATTCCACACTGCGGCCCTGCTGTGGTCCAGATTCTGCCTTATCTCAGTGCATTTGCACAGTAGATACTACTGTTCTCCGTTTAATGAAGAAACTGAGGCAGAGAAAGGGTAAGTAGCCTGTCCAAGGGTTTGAAGCGAACAGAAGAAGACTGGTCATTCAAACTGAGTTCTCTTTGAGCCCAGAGCCCATACTGGGAGCTGAATATCTTCTGTTGCTACACATTTTGTCTGGAGAAACCAAGCCCTTTACATTTTTGTAGGCCCAGCAAGAGAAAAATCAGTAAGTGTAGATTCAGTGGCCACAAATCAAGTGCCTACCACGGGCCAGACATGTCGCATTCTCTCTAATCTATTTTTAACTGAAGACCCCATTGTCCCTTCTCTGCCGATGGGGAAACAAAGGTTCCAGGTCCTTAAAGAGTTAACTGCAGCGAGAGCATCATGATGGGCCAGATCAGTTGGGCACAGACCATGGGAGAGGCGCTATGCTGACTGCTTTACATGTTTAATCCTCGTAATGTGCAGGACTAGGTAACTTTTATCCTCAGTTACACAGATGAGGAAAGTGTGATGCAGGGAGGTTACATTACTCGCCCAAGGCCACACAGTGAGTGGAGGAGTCAGGATTTGAACCAAGGCAGCCTGGGTGCAGACTCTGCCCTTCACCAGCTGTGCTATACCCACACACCATCTACACTCACGAAATGGAATGAAAGCTCAGTCATGCTATTCCTGTTCCTTGACCTTCCTCCTGCCCACGGTGCCTCAAACAGTCTGGCATCCGGGTTGACATCAGAAAGCCCACTGGGGTAGTCTCTTTCCTGACCCAAATCTGAGAAGGCAGTGGGTGACTGTAGACCAAACTCACGTGATTTCCATAAGGTTTTCCTCTCTTTGCCCTTGGATGCCCCCTCCTCCTTTTTTTGGTCTCGATGACCGTTCCTTAAGCAGCATCTATCTCTCCTTCCAAAATGCCCAGCAGCCTTCAGGCTGGTGGCCCATCAAGGACAGAAGGACACACAGACGCAGGCTTCCCACTTGATGGGAAGCATGGATGGGCGGGGCCTGTAGCTGCAGTCTGCCAATCAGCCTCAGGGAAAGGTCAGGATTGCAGCCCGGCGATTTCACTCTTAAGTGGATTTCAGAGGCACTGGCTGTCCAGCTCCTCTCTACACAGTGCGGTTAAGCTGCTGCTTAGCCAGAGGCTGTGTTCCTGCCACATTGTGAGGTGGCTTCTGGAAATCATGCATGCAGTTAGCTAAACGGAACCACGCTGCTTTATTAATGGGAGCAAGCTCAAGAGAGAAACTGAATAAAAACAAGGCAAGCTTGCTTTCCACCCCTAATTCAAAAAGCCAGATAATTAAGTAGGCGGAGAAAGGAAGTGTCCCTTCTGATTCCAAGAGCTGTCTCTCTCTTTCCAGATTTTTCTTTATTAGGTGGTGGTGGAGTGTGTGCGTGTGGGAGGGGGAGTGTTGTGAGGGAAGTCCTAACAAAAGATTATTGCCCTGAACCCTTTGAATAAGCGATTTGTGTCACATGGAGACCATAATAATAACTAATTGTTTTCAGTTGTGCTCAGCTTCTCCAAACCCTCCACTCAGTTCCCTTCTGCAGGGCCCTCAGCAACTCCAGATCTCACCCCCTGCGGACTCACCCCCACCTGTCACTTTGGATTTCACCTCAAGGGGAGGGCTCATCAGCATGAACTCCATCCACCCCAGGCATCTTCCACCTGCAAATGCGCCTGGAGAGCACTTCCCTTTCCTCTTCCCCTGGGGGTGGGGGTGGGGGTGGAGAGGGACCTCTTCACCTGCACAGCCATTGCTCTGGACCCACTGTGACTTTGCCTGTCAGTTGCCCTGGCGCTGCCATGCTCCTTCCCTCCAGTGTAACAAACGTGTCCCCATCACTGGCATTCTGCAGAAGTCTTCCCTCCACCTGCCTCTCAGGCAACCATCCCCCACCCTTGCCTGCTTCTTTCCACATCTTGACAGTCATCTCACCCCACTTGTCACAGCCACATGTCTCCACTGCCATCAGGGCCAATTCTGGCTTCTGCTCCCCTTCCCCCCTTCCCCCCTGCAGCTGGTCACCACTGACGTCCAATCTTAAGACCTAGTGGCCCTCCCCATCCCTTTCCTATTCACGGGGCAAGAGAGGAGGAGGGTGGCCAAGAGAGGAGGGTGGTGGTGAGGGTGTTCAGTTCTCTGACATTTCTTCAGAGAGAGAGAGCCTAGAGTTTCAAAGACATTTTTCATCTACCAAACTGCATATTTTTACTTAGATATTTAAAAAAGCAATCTCAAGTTCCGAAAGAAAATGTGGCATCGATGCCAAAGCAGATCACTAACACTCGGTATCAACAGGAATATATTTGAATTTAAAAGGCTAGCTGCATCTGACAGCAGTCTCAGCTGCGGCAAGTTGGAGCGGGAGCGGGAGTGGGGGTGGGGAGAGGAGTCCTCAGTGAACCTTTATGAAGACAGGGCACAGGTGATAAGTGGGGTGACCGTTCCCGTCATGTGACATGTAGGCAGTCAGGGAAGGCTTCACATCAAAACTTATATTTGGTTCCTGGCCGGTAGCTCAGTGGTTAGAGCGTCAGCCTGTGGACTGAAGGGTCATGGGTTCGATTCCCAGTCAAGGGCACATACTTGGGTGGCAGGCTCCCCAGCCCTGGTGGGACCTCGTAGGGGAGGCAACCAATCAATGTGTCTCCTGTTGATGTCTCTCTCTCCCCCTCCCTCCCTTCCACTCTCTAGAAATCAATGGGGAAAAAAATATCCTCAGGTGAGGATTTAAAAAAAGTTATATTGAGGCTGAGTCTTAAAGGGCAGATAACTTCCGGTGAAGAAAAGGAGTTTCACACTGAGGCAGAGGGAACGGCATTTGCAGGGCAGGGCATTTGGAAAAGAACAGACATTTTCAGGAGATGAGCACGATACTTTGAAGCATCTTATGGTCTCCTGGGATCCAATGCTGTCCCCATCACTCCCCTGGCCCTGAAATACAGATAGCTGCAAGGAAAGGAGTGTATCTTAGCGTAATTTTCGTTAAGCTAAGGGCTAAGGGCTCACCCTGTGTATGAGGAACCGATTTCTCACATGCCTCCCGAAATCAATTGCGTGCTTTTCCACAGACAGAGGAAAGGCATTCGCAGTCAAGGTCATCTTCCCCTAGGGTTGTCAGCATCACTTCGAGGTGGGGGCAAAGCCTTACCACAGGAAGCTAAGGGCCCAGCAAGCTCCAGGGTCTTCATGGGAGTCATTTCTCCCAGGGTGCATCTCTGCCCTCACTCGCTATGGGAAGACAGGTGTCGAGTCTCATTCGTTACACAGTGGAGAGCAGCAAATAGTTGCTCAAAAATGCTGGTTAAGTACACAGGTAATGGGACCAGCATCCTGTGCTTTCTAAAGAACGGGGGGGGGGGGGGTTTCTATCCTCCCTCCTGTTTCCACGGTGTAAGTTCCTGATCATGGTGGAGCTTGTCAGTTCATGTTCTTCCTGGGCACTCAGAGAGGACCACACTTTCTCATGGGTAGGTGGGCTGTGGGACCTGGTCTAGCCCATGAAGCAAGACACAAAGTGATGGGTGCTGCTTCCTGGGTGGGGTATTTGAGTGGGTAGACCACCTGCAAGCTCTCAGCAATGACCCTGGGATATAGATGGAGGAGCTTGGATCCCTGAATTGCCAGATGAAAGGGAGCCCCCCACTGACCCTCACTGGGAATATATAAGAATTAAATGAACCTTATTGTGCTAAGGTTTTGCTTTGTTGCAGCCCTACCATGACTAATATATACATCCCACTTCCTCTCCGTAAGACAGAGAGGGAGTATGGATTACACATGAACTCAATGAAAACATTGCTCACTATTTGATGGAGGTAATGAGAATAGGTATGCTTTACAACAGACAAGTCCATTGTCACCTTCACTTCTTTAGAGAAATATACAGAAGAAACTTCTCCACCTGCAGTTCCAGAAAAGGTGGAGTATCCCTTGACCATTTGATAAGTTACTAAGATTGATTCTTGGTTGACCACTTTTTGCCTTGCTAACCAGGAAGCTCAGAGCCAAATATAACCTCATGGAATGCGTTTTGCCAGTTCCCTATTATCAATCACTTAGCTACTCAGTCCTCATTTCCCTGGGGTCCTGATTTATCTGTTCTCTCTCGTTGTGTTTTATATACTCTAATAAGTAAAACTTTCTTTTGTGAAGGGGAAAAGGAGATGAGGAAGGATGAGAACCAAACTTTTGGATGAACTCAGAACAAATGATCCACGAGCCATTGTCTCCTAATACTGGAGGCCGACAGGGTAAGTCAGCTCGAGTCGAACAATCGGTGTTGTTGATGTTGACTTACTCTTCTAGGTTTCATGACTATTAATTTTTCCTTTGCTTTATAACAGCGTAGCTCACAAAGTTAATGATGATAATTGCTGGTGCGGGATGCACAGGAAGATAGTTTGTGGCAGTGGGTGTAACTTGCAGTTAGTTTAAAATAGCTGTGCTCATGGATTCAGGGTCCCCAGATGACATTAATCATGGGCACTTCCTCCTTCTGAACTGTCATACACACTGATTCACAATTTTGATGGAAAACATTCCCTCCATAAAATTCCCCAGTTGAGGATACATTACCTGATGCAAAAATAGGAACATTTTAAAATCCCAGCTCACACCTCACCTTAGTTTTACCTTTGCTTTCCAGACCTGTGTAGATTCAGGGGCAATGCAACATCCTTTCTACATTTATCTGCCATCATATCTATCAATGATCTCCAACAGATGCACATAGACACATGTGAAAAAAATTCTTTCTTTATTTCTCACATTTTATTACAAAATGTATGTTGCAAACAACTTGAATAACCTACTTGTGTGTTTTTTGTTGTTTTTTTAAACCCTTGGCTTCAAGAACTCAGGATCTCCCTATCTTTCATCAAGTATTGGGAAACACTGATTATTGGAGTCAATAGGTTCTCATTTTGCTATTTACTTTCTTCTCTCAAGCTCTGAAAAAAATGTCCTCTGTATAAATTAAACAAAAAAATGTTGTAAATTCTATGTCATTACAGTCAACAGAATTATAATAATGCATCCAAAATGTGCGGCCACAAAATATCAGGTATATGTTTGAAAAAAAGAAAAAAAATGACATTCTAGCCTTGTTACAAGGATAATGGTCCCATATTTTTATTAACAGGTTAGCAAAACAAAATCCAATGGATTACAATATTTACATGTTATTTGAAAAATAAAGTAGTGATAAAAGCATGTCACAATTATTTTCTTTCTTTCTTTTTTTTTCTTTTTCTCTCTTTTCCTTTTTTTTCTTTTTTGTTTGTTTTTTGGTAACCATTACAAACACCCAATCCAGGTATGGAACTGTTTAATACATTTGAAATGAGGCCAATTAAAAACAAATATGGACACGAAATGAAATCTCTGTTTAGATAGTTCACACTTTCCCCATTTTCTGGTTTCCACATGATGGCCCTCATCCCTAAAAAAAATTAAGATAAATGCCCTACAAAAAAAAAAAGTCTTAACAGCAAGAAAATAAAGGAAGAACATGCTTTTCAAGTAAGCACTTATTCCACAAATGCAGTATCTTTCCATGGATTTTATTTGAAGCTATGTGGGACACTGTCATCTCTGCAATTCCCTTCCCTCTCTTCCCTTCCCCTCCCTCAACCCTTCCAAGTAAAAAAAACAAAACAAAAACAAAAAACATGAAAACCAAAGGACTCACACACACCCACTCACATACGCACGAGAACACACACATCCAAGCACGCAAGCTCATAGGCTTCTAAAACCTAGGCTTCAAGGAAAGTTCTTTTCTACTCTTTGTAACAAAAACTCTCTGTTCACAATCAGAACATATTATAAATGTAGACTTAGATTTAGTCTAAGCCGCTCCCTCCTGAAAAAGCTAAGATGGGGAAACGGAGCAGCTGGCAGCTAGATTTAAACAAACAACAAAAAAGTAGTTCTCCAGGCTCCTTGTAGGATGGAAGTATTTCTTGTCCATTCTCACCAAAGGGATGGGATTCCCTTCCCCACCAAGTTAAATGAGAAACCGCCCCCCCAAAAAAACACACATTGCAAACAAAAGCAAAACACAGATTGGAAATCACACACAAAAGCCAGCCCATCCTAACAGAACGTATTTGTGTGAGACGGATAGTGTGATAATTTGACAAGCAACAAAAGGGTGAAGAGGACTTCCTCGTCTGGCCCACAAGCTGCATAGCTGTGCCAAAAAGTTTGGTTCTTTAGTTAAATTAAAAAAAAAAAAGTTAACTTCTTTGTTATTTCCATGTTTAAAATAAAAACATTCCTATTCACAAAAAAACCCTAAATCTCCCTCGCCCCAAATTAAAACAATATCAACACACACACACAAAGAAAAACAATTTATATGAAAAACTGAATTGTGCTGTGTTTGTAACACTCAAGCTGATAGAAAATGAACATGTGGCAAACGGAACTCCACAGTCACCGTAAAATTAGCTTGTATGAGTCTACCAAAGTCTAAATCATAGTTGAACACTAATAAACAGCTTACCTGGAATAAAGGATGACAATTCACAAACAGTTATCTAGTAATTAAAGTCTGTTTCTTTTTTTTGTTTTGTTTTTTACTAAAATAATTAAAAAAATCACAGTATTTTAAGAAATAAAACCCACGTGGGGATTTTAAGCACAATTTGTGTTCCTTTCTTTAAAACTCTTTTTTTTTTTTCTCCATTCACCATCTTGCCCAGCAGTTCTCTCTACATTTAACCACGACGACGACAGGTAGTACTGACAAATGCAGAGAATTCCCTTGGTTAAGTTTGAGGTACTAGGAAACAGGTGACTGTTTTATGCAAAGCAGTTTTTTTGTTTTCTGTTTTTGTTTTTTTCCCAAAGCGGCTGCAGTTAGGTCTTGAAAAAAGCTTAAGGTATGAAAACTAGAAAAACGCACTGAAAGTTGTGCGTCAGAAAATGTTGTTCCCCTAAGAAGTCTTCTACTGTCATGGAGCTTGTTTCCACACACTGTCCAAGACCGCCACAGGCCACGCCGTGCCCGGGAGGCGCTGCGCATCCCGCCACGAGCGAAACTTCCACGCTGAAGATCCGGGAGGGAAGGTGTAGTGATGGAAAAGGAGCCACATATTCCAACCATTTAAATAACTTTAATTTACATACTCACTCACACAGGTACCAGTGCTTTGAAAATAGATTGTTCAGTCCGAAAAAGCAGCTTTGTTCTGTCTTCTCTTTTCTGTCCCCCACGTCTCAGCCCGAGCTGGCCCTCCCACTTTGCGTCACGGTTCAAGTAAGGTTGTGATCCAGAATTCCACCCCACGCTTATTCCTTTTCGGCCTCTGCCTTCTCCAGGAGAGATCTGTCGGCAGCGACTACGCAGATGGCTACTGTCTCGTTCTTTAGGGAAAAGTCTATCCCGAGCGCCTCGTCATCTTCCTTCTCCTCTATCGAGGGCATCTTAATACTGTCCTGCACGCTCTCTGGTAGGTGGATTTCTTCTCTGCTCACCTGCTGGGTGTCGTTCAACGCCCTGGGAGAACATGGATGGCAGAGACAGGTGAGTGTTTACTGTTTCCTCGTTAAATGAAAAAAGACTCACATCCTTAACAAAAGGCCTTGGGGTTTCCTTGGGACAAATGCCACGAAAGGATGACTAAATTGTGAGCGACTTATCCTTGCTACACGTTGTGCTTAGGTCAAGTATTGCTGGTACTTGAACCTACAAAAATGCCCATTATCATGCTATGGTTTGATTACATCATGCTTTGTTTCCAGATGAATATAATGGTTTTATGTTTCCCGCCTCTACTGGGAACAGAGAGAAGCTGTAAGTGGTCAGAGCAAGTATTGTCTGATGCTCAAACTCCTCAGCGGAACCCGGAAGCTAGGAGGTTGGCTGTGTTTATTAAGACTGAAAGAGCAGCCCCGGTATTAAAGAGTTAATGGACAGGTCCAGAAACAAATCATAGAGATAAACCAAAAGCAAAAACCCCAAGACCGAACCCATGTCTTGGGAAGCTGAGTTATAGTCTCTGAAGTTTAGGTGCTTCAGGTCTCAGGGGTATTTTCTGCTAAAAGCACCAACTCGTAGGCCCTGTATCTGGTGGACTAAGAGGATAATTTTATATTCAAGGATCTTACAGGTGTTTTACAGGTGTGCTCCCACCTACCTGGGAGGCAGGCAGAAGCTGGCTCTGTCCCCGAGGCAGAGCACTGAAGGCACCAAGAGGTGCGTGGGAATGTTCCAGGCCACTCAGGGAATGAGTCATCAGAGGCAGGAACAGAAGCCAGATCTTTTGACCCCGGTCCACGCTCTATCAGAGAACGCCACGCTAATGAGAGCCGAAGGGACACTGGCTGGAGAAAGCGCGACACTTGTACGCGAGGGCTTGAGTGGGATTTGTCATTCGTAGCGAAGGTGATTTTTTCATTTGACTTGTGTCTGGGTGACCATTTACAACACCAACCGAAAAGGAGACACTAGTTCCTGACATCTGTCTCTCCTCCCAGGCCCGGGTATGTGACACAGAGGGGTCCGGGTGTCGGCAGGGGAACAAAACCAACACCACGAAGAACCTGACCGCCCTACCACCTCCCTCTGGGCCAAGGCGTCAGGGGATGGCTCAACTTACATGCCGTGTCGCAGCACGTGCCGCTCCCACTCGGAGCCCTGGGAAAACGCCCGCCCGCAAAATTCACACGGAAAGCGCTTCTGAGCGTTCATGGCAGCCCCGTGGTCAGCAAACCTCATCAGATCTGTAAGGAGAAAGCGGAGCAAGCGTTACCTGAGTGCTGTGGGAGGCGGTGGAAGAGGTAAGCCAGCGTTTAGGAGGAGACCTCCGTCCCTCCCTCGTCACACCATTTGTGAGAGCGAGTTCCAGATCCCCTGTCCTTCTTCCCACCGCTTTTCACCCGAGGGCACTTCTGGAACGGCTCTCAAGAACCGTCCCTGGCTCCCAGGCCCCACGCGTGCCCGTCCCCACCTCTCCAGCTGCTTCTGTCACAAACAACCTGGGTCATTCCCACGGCGTCTGAGCAGGTTGTCTATTCAATCTCCCCCGCCCGTGATGGTCTAGCAGTGCCTCACCGTTTAGCACTATTCATTTTCTACTTGACACGAGTTTGCTCACTAAAAAGAATATAGGCTCCCGAAAGCATGGAGCAGGTTACGCGCAGACCCGGGGATTTCAATGCCTTCCAGTGGGAAAGCCGTCCTGACTCCCGACGGCGGTCACCTGTCACGGACGTCACCATCCACACCTAACCGGGCTCCGAGCACCGAATGCCTGAAGGTGTGTGCTGGACAACGGGAGGCCGGCGTGTGAAAGCAGGCGTGACCTTGGCTAATGAGGGAGCCTGGCCAGCTGCCCGGCCCTTACTCCTCAAGCGGTGAAATCCGGGAAGGCGGGGACATGTGGACATTTCTGGACAGGTCTGTTGTAGACATCAAACGTGGACTGTCATTGTTTTTTTCTCCTCTGTGGCGCTGGGCACATGGTAGCGTCTGATAAGCGTGGGTTGGGCGGCTAATTGTTTACAGGCCACTCCTCCTGGCAACCTCCATGACGGGAGCTTCTGTGACCTTTGTGGGATCGGAGTCCCAGCCCATGTGTCTTTCATGACACCACAGCAGGCCAAATTCTCCCGGGGGCTAGCACCATAGGACGAGCACAGTTCTGCAGAGGAGGGCAGGACTGACCATCTCCCCAGATCTGATCCCTCAGTGCCTGTCCGTACAAGACGTTACAGCAGTGGTTCTCAACCTTCCCAATGCCGCGACCCTTTAATACAGTCCCTCATGTTGTGGTGACCCCCAACCATAAAATTATTTTTGTTGCTACTTCATAACTGTAATTTTGCTACTGTGATGAATCGTCATGTAAATATCTGATATGCAGGATGTATTTTCATTGTTACAAATTGAACATAATTTAAAGCATAGTGATTAATCACAAAAACAATATGTAATTATATATGTGTTTTCCGATGGTCTTAGGCGACCCCCATGAAAGGGTCGTTCGACCCCCAAAGGGGTCGTGACCCACAGGTTGAGAACCGCTGCGTTACAGGGAGATGTCTCCTGGTTGAAAGCTCCCAGCTCATCAAACCGTAGGATGACGCTCACAGGGTAGGTATCTCCGTGCTGCCTTAATCCTCAGCACACAAAGCTATGTGAATAGGGCCAGTTTGAACAAAAGATGAAACATTTTTCTCACAAATTAAGAAGATCACCACACCAGCCATTAAAAATAATTGCACAGACTATCTCCCTTGATTCTTTTCGCTGGAAATGAGACAGCACCATCTGCTCAGCGCATTAATTTCTTAGCAGGGATTATCTTGGGCAAGAAATCAACAGAATGCCTTCCTGACTCCTCCCAACTGCATAATGAGAGGGGGTGGGGCGGAGCCTGCCTGGGTTAATTTTGGTTTCTTCCTGCCTGGTTTCTTCTCTTTCAATTTCCCTCTGAGCTTTCTAGGCGGCACCTGCAGGGTGGCCAGCCAGTCCCCTCTCCAGTTCTGGTGTTGGAAAAGGACGCCGGGAATGGGGTACCTACAAGGACGAGGGCCCCCTGAACGAGGGCCTGATGCAAGTCCGCCCTGCCAACGAGGGGCAAGCTCCCGGCTCACGCGCCCTTTACCCTGAGGAACATGAAACCAATCGTCTATTCTTTCCAAGGCTCCTCTGGCTCAGCCTCCGAAGAGGCCAATCATTACCTGTCACACGGCAAACAGCTCTCCACCCGCTCAAGCTGCCGCGCTAGAGCCACCACCCACTCTCCGCTCCTAGGAGACAGGCCGGCTGGCAAACACCCCCGGGCTATTGTGTGTCCTTTCTTCTCGCTGGCAAGAACCCACCTCCATGGTGGGAAATCGATTAGAAGGAGACGAGACAAACTCGGGAGGGACAGGAAGGTTTAGGCTGATGATTTCCATGAGTTGTCCTGGAAGTCGCTCCTGTACATCCGCCACCCAGCGGGAGAGACAGACAAGCTTCTCCACCCCGAGACTTTCCCCATGTGGTTAAGGCTCATGAATGGGAGGCTACCCTCCAGTGAGACTCGATCGGACGCCACCAAGCTCTTTCCAGTCCAACCGAGCGGGTCTGAAGCTCCTGTGAGGGGGCGGCCACGCAGCAACCTGCCTGGTGCCCACACATCCAACTGCCCCCTTTTCCCCTTCTGCTTGTCTGTGCTTTTACTTTGGAGGAGTCACCGGGGAGGCCTCACAGGGCTCTTGCCTCTGTCATGCTCATCACCTCTAAATTCACGTGTGCTCGCTTTAAAGACTCAGAAGTCGTAGGACCCGGGGGAGGGAGGGCGGGGTCCGGGGCATCAGGAGGCACCGGAGCCCCTCTGCCCTCTGTCAGAGGAGCCCTTTCCAGGGAACTCGGGTGGCAGTGCACTGATCCCAAGGAATCCGTCACCAAGAACATATACATGGAATGTGGAGCTTCTCAGATCACAGCCATCGTCCATGCAAGAGGCGGAGGAGTCTGACCCCTACCAACAGACGCTGTACCGTCACAAGGGCAATCAACCTACCCGGTGCGGATGCTTCCTTTGCCGTTTATTCTTCAGGTCACCATGGGCATGCTGGCACACCCTGGCTCGCAGTCCCTGCTGCCGTCCTAGCCACAGGGGGCTAAGGTGGGCTCCCACTTTGCAAACCAGTGGCCGCCTGCCACAGCGTCATGGTGGGGTGGGGTGGGAGTGGGAGCAGGTCAGGAAAAAAACTGGGAGAACCTCGGAGGGAAATGGTCACCAAATACTCTTCCTCAGGCTTGCAGATTGACCAAGGAGGAAAAAACAAAGCTATTTTTGTAAAAGTGTACCTTAGAGAGAGACCCTAATGGCCACAGAATTGACAGAAGTCAGGGTCAAGTTCCCTTCAGTGAACAGACCACTGTCCACAGGGTTGGGGAACAGGACGTCGTGTAAAAGGGATCTTGCCTTTGGAGCCAAAAGACGAAATTCGACCTCTAGTGTTGTGTTTTTTAAACTTTGCATGAACTCTGACATTTCCTGGGCCTTTATTTCCCCGTTTGTAAAATGACAATAATACACCTACACGAGGGTTATCATTTATTAGGTGGTTACTATGTTTCAAGGACTGGTTTGTGTGTGATCTCACTGTGCCTTGGTGTTATCTCACGGAAGCTTTACACAACCCTAGGAGGTAGGTGATATTATTATTACTGATGATGAATGCACAGGAGCTACCCAGTCATACAGCTACTAACGGAACTGAAGCCAGACCCAGGCAGGCCCACCGCAGACCCCTCTCAAGAAAAGGCATCTAGAAACCACTGGCACATGATGATGCTCCGCAGTGGCAACTGACACCACCCCTCTCAGCACTGCGGTGACATCTATGGTCAGTTCTCAGGCTTGGTACCCGTGTGACTCTGGTAAGTCTGCAGGAACTAAAGCAACAGATTTCAACCTAGCTGCTCACATGCACCGTCTTGGGATTTCCACAATATTCTGCGTTGATCGATGTTGAGAACAACTCTAAATCACATACATGTCTGTCTGTAATTACATATACTTTCAACAAGCTTCATTTTGAAGATAATTATAGACTAAGAAGAAGTTGGAAAAATAGTACAAAAATTCCATGAGACCTTCCCCCGTGTCCCCTGTAAACACATGACTAAATGAAAACTACTGGTTTTGTCAAAACCAACGGCAAGGAGGTTAAGGGGAGGCCATGTTGAGGACTGGGGGGGGGGGGGGCCCAGGATTCGTCTCGCAGCCTCCCTCCCTCACAGCCTTGGCAGGTGAGCCCCGCAGCAGCAACTGCAAATCAGCATCCCATTGGGAGTTCACTGACGTTCCCTGAGAGCTCTGGTGTCATCCGTCTTGCCATTGGCCAGTCCTTATACTAAGACCCCAAGACACCCCTTCTCCTTGTTAAAAACAAATCACCACTCTACATTGTTAATAAACACATCAACCGCAGCGAGAGAGAAAATGCCTGTTTCCCGTGGAGTTTCTACAGCTGGGGATAGTTTACAGACACGGCCCCTGACAGGTTTCTCGAGTCGGTTGGTTCTGCTCCTGAACTAAGGGATCGTTCCTTCTGCTACTCCTATAGCACCCCGTCTCCCCATCTCCCCGTCTCCCCACGGACGCGCTGGCTGCCACCGGGGCCCGCAGGGCGGGCGAGACTCACCTCTGTCCTCGGCCTTGCCCACGTCCTCCTCCTTGTCCTCGTCCTCGCTGCTGGAGCTCTCCAGCTTGCCCTTCATCTGCTCCAGCTGGTCCAGGTTGACCCGTCCGACCAGCTCGAAGTTCCGGCTCACCTGAAAGAGGCCAAGCGCACGATGGGAGAGGCCGCGGGCGGGTGGGGGACATCTCTCCAGCACCCTTGCCCCGCCTGTCTTTGGAACCAAAACTGAACGACACCAGCGCCGAGGCGGCCCTCTTCTCCCCGGAGACGCTGTTTCTGCGGTGGGTGCTCTCACATCCCACGGTGTTCAATGGGACTGTCAGCATCGGGCCCTCCTTACCGAACGTGGTAAGAGAAGTGAGCTACCGTCGGCCAGAAAGCACAAGTACCATGAAGCTTGGGGAGTGGAGGCGGTGGCCAGCAAACAATTTTTTATTTCTGTCAATCCTCACCCGAAGATATTTTTTCCAGTGATTTTCAGACAGAGTGGAAGGGAGGGTAGAGGCGGGGGTGGGGAGGGGAGAGGAACATTAAAGGGAGAGAGAGACATATTGATTAGTTGCCTCCCGCCCTGCCAGGGATCAAATCCAAGACCCTTCTGTCCTCTGGCCGATGCTCTAACCAGTGAGCACCCGGCCAGGGCTGGGAAACCCTTTTTAGTTGAATTCAAAGCAGTGACTTTTGTAAACAACCCAGTCCTCCTGGAGGCGAAGAGGCTCTAAGTATCTAGAGAACAGGCGGTGACAGTCGCAGCCTCTTCCCCACGGTCCTGCCACCTGCAGGGCTGCAGGCTGTCCCAGTGCAGGCCAGGCGACAGTGACTTGATTCCTAACTCACACGCTGACCAGGAGCCACAGGTTAGCACAAGACTCAGGTCAACACACAGCCATGGGCTACCCCTGTGGCAGGCGCTGGGCTCCCCCGTTGGAGGGAGGGACGGGGGCGGGATCCAGAGAGAAGGAGACCCAGTCTGGCCCCCAGAGGCTCACAGTGTACCAGGTAGTTGGGGAGGGAAGACAGACATCATTCACTAGATCCAAGGCAGACGCCCACAGCTGCTACACAGAGAGGGTGAGGAGGACGAGGAGAGGGAGGATTTACAAGACAATCCCAAATGTGTCCCCTGGACCAGACTGGAACACAGATCCCCTGAGCACCAGATGCCGGGCAGATGGGAACATCACCATCAACTGTGACAAACGTGAGAGAGACTCGCAGCATCAGGGCCAACGCGCAGTCCTCTGACAGGCTCAACATCGTCCCCACCACGTTCTGAAGGAGGGAGCATTTAAGAGGAGGAAGAACCCTCGGGATAAAAGCTCTTTTGAAACCAGAGGAACAATACATGCACCTAACACAACGAGGAACCGGGAAAGCAGTCACCTTGAAAACAACGAGACACGAGGGTGGAAGAGAGGTCTGCATCCGTCTCAATGCTCAACACTTGAGGACGGCAAGTTGTTCTTCTCATTAAGAAAGTTGTAAAAATTAACAGACTAAAGTGAGGAGGAGGAGGAGGAAGCTGGACTCAGAATCTTGATTTCTCCTTCCACCCATCTAATAAGAGTTCATAGCAACAGTCTCAAAGGCACTTTTGCTTGTGGCACCTTCCTAACCAGGGGTTTATCCACCAGGCCTCACTCCCACAGGCCTATGTGAAGTTTTACTAATTCATTTTTACAACATGAAGTGAGAGGGGGTAGGGCACAGGAGCAAGAGCTCTGAAGTCAGACCTAAATTCAAGTCCAGGGTTTGCCGTTACTCAGACTCTGGGCAAGTTATTCAACATACATGTCCTCATTTATAAAAGGGGGGTCAGCACACTACCCGAAACACACAGTTCCCCCAAATGTCGCTTCCTGCCCCTTGCAGGGAATATGGTCTTTTCCAATTTTGGCTTTTGGAAAAGGCGTATGATAAGCATTGTAAATGCATATTCATGAAGTTATGTTTAGCCACAAAGTCTGTATTTTAACCCAATAGCATTTATGACAAATATCTGAATAGAAGTTTGCTAGGTTGCCAGTTTTTAAGGAAAAGGAGGCAAGGTTCCAATCTGCCTAATTTTGAACTATGTGTAAAGAAACATCTTTTAAATGACTAGTACTTAAAAGGCAGCCTTTTCTGGCCACCTTCAGCCAGGCCACCTGTGTGTGTAAGGGACATGCGGGGTGGCAAGATGCCAAGAAACAAAAATAATGAAACCGAGAATGGCCAAAAGGAAATCCCGTATTGTTTAATCCAGGAAGTCTTCATTGATTCCTTCATTCATTGGACAAGGACTTCCTGAGGGCCTACTGTGTGTCAGGCCCCGCACCAGGTACCAGAGCCCTGCTTCCCAAGGGCTCCGGTGACAGACCTGTCACCAAACCGAATGTTCCTTTTTGCTTTCCCGCCTCCCTCTTTCTTTTCCCTTCACTGGGAAACTGTTAACATTTTGGATTCTGCATGATTTTGAAAGAGTGCAAGACATTTTCCTAGTCTGATATTCATCTGAGGCTGCCCCAGGATTCAGCTGTCCTGAAGATTTCTAAAATCTCTCCTAGGCAATTAAAAGATTTAAAAGGAAAAACATTTTTGTTATGTAATTACAAGATTTTTTAAAAAACAAAAACTCTTGATCGTGTTGGGGTTCTAACTCTACTTTAAGTCCCCCGGTCAGCCAGCCAATATTCATCTTTACTGCACAAGACTCCTCGCTGCATTTCTGAGCCCATCTCTCACCTGGATTAATGCCATGTCCTCCCTCCGCCATCCATTCTCACTCCTCTTGCATCTAATCTCTGGTGCCTTCTGAGTGATTTTTAAAAAATTTAAATCTGTTCATGTCAGTCTCCGCTTGCCCTGAGGAGAAAATCCTCATTTCTTACTGAGACTTGTGTGGCAGGCGGGCGATCAGCGTACCCTGGCCCCCCCGTCTCCCGGCTGCCTCCCCTTTGCTCCCATGGCCCTGAACTCGCTGAGCTTCCTGGGATCTGCCACGCTCTTGACCCTGTGGCCCTACCTCCCCCACTTCCCGTGCACGTGCCATTTCCCGTTTGGAATTCCAGCCTGCCTCCTTCACGCAGCAACTTCTGTCTTCCAGCCTCGCTTCAGTGTCGAACTCCTCCTTGGTTAAATACCCTTGGCTCTGCACTCCCGCAGCACCCTACACTCGCCTTTGGTAATTCATCCCCCTCAGTAATTAATTGTTTATGGCCTTCACACTCCCCACCTCCGCCTCCCACCCAAACTGCTAACTCCTGGGGAACCTCTGCCTCCGACTCCCAGCGGGATCTCACCGGCCAGGCCTGGCATACATATCCTCAGTATCAGTGGCATTCTTAATCACTATATAACGTTTCATTAGGGGATATGCTATAGTTTACTGTTCCCATGTGAGTTTACCTTTGGCTTTTCTGGCTTTTCACTATTAAAAATGCAGTAATAGACCTTATGGTATGTAATCCTTTCTTTCCTGTTTAGCTTTAATTTTATAGGCTAAATTTGCAGAGGCGAAATCACAGGGTCAAAAATCAAAGAGTTTGGACTTTATTGAAATTCCAATATATGTGTAAGCTGGTTTCTGGAATGAGCATCCACGTCCCTTCTGGACCAGAGACTGGAGGGTATCTGACCGCCTTTCTAACGGTACGGAGGACAAATGAGGGAAAGTCACCTTTTCCTCTGGAGATGATGGTAATTTATTACCTGTTTTCCAAAAGGGCCACAACGGAGGGAGAAAAAGAAGCGTAAGAGTTCACGATTTAGGAGCCTTTTGAAGGCAAAAGCCACACATGGCTTTGAAGGGTGGATTGTTCAAATACATAATCACTCAGACTATAAAACTGTATGCAGCCCTGGCCAGTGTGGCTCAGTTGGTTGGAGCATCATCCCGTACACCAAAGCGTGGTGGGTTCAACTCCCAGTCAGGGCACATACCCACGCTGCAGGTTCAATTCTGGTTGGGGCGTGTACTGGAGACAACCAATAGATGTTTATTCTCTCTCTCTCTCACTCTCTCTCTCTCTCTCTCTCTCATATCAATGACGTGGTGGGTTCAACTCCCGGTCAGGGCACATAGCCACGCTGCAGGTTCAATTCTGGTTGGGGCATGTACTGGAGACAACCAATAGATGTTTATCTCTCTCTCTCTCTCTCTCTCTCTCTCTCTCATCAATGAAAGGCATATCCTCAGGTGAGGGTTAAACAAAACTACACGCAGATCCTTATATCCTGTGAAAGTTATTTGTGAATGCCCCAAACCCCAAAGTCCCCTGTGAAGGCCACTAACCCAGAGTCTTGGTGAAGTCTGCCATCCAACAGGAATGTGAGATAAGGAGCACCGACCAGCAAATGCTTTCCCCTGAAAGTTAACCTTGCACCGATGACCCTGCCAACCCTTCCACGCTCGCGCTGAGCGTCCAAGCGTCACAACTACATTTGTCCCTGCTTGTTGGTCTTTAGCCTCTCGGCCGACGGCTTAGGTCTGCCCCCAGCATAGGAAAGGAATTCCGTACTGAGGCTTACTTCTCAGGGAGAGGCACCCCGTGATGTACAAATATTACCAAGTTGAGCATTTTCATAGGGTGCTAGGTGGGCAAACCCAGTCTTACAGGGAAAACTGATAAACACCTGTTAACGGAAAAGCGCAACTGGACACCCGTCTGCAGATCACTTAGCAGACGCGAAGTGGGGCAGCCGGTGGCGAGGAAAAATCCGCCTAACGTTTCCTGAGTTTCCTCCCGCTGACGCAACGTTTGTCCCTTCAGAAAGGGACACCCAGCCAGGGTGTTCGCATCACCGAACACTCCATGTCCGTGTTAAGAAGGAAGGCCAAAGGGAACGTTTTATTTCCAGAGAATGTGACACTGGAGAACATGGGAAAACTGCCTCCCCCATCACAAGCCGAGGACGTGTCGTGCGCGCAGATTTCCAAGGACTCGAGGGCAGGCTGGCCGTCTTCAGGGAGGGACAGGTGGGCACGTGCCTTAGGCTTTCAGGGCCCCACAGTCTCTGTCGCAACTACGCGACTGCTGTGCTAAACACTGAAATCCAAATTTTATGTCATTTCACATGTCACGAAATACGACTCTTGATTTTTTTCCAGCCATTTAAAATGTCAAAACCCCTCTTAGCTGGCAGGCCACATAA